CTGTCCCTGAAGACCCGAGAACTTCTATAACCCCAACACATTCCCCAACCACGTCCCTCAGATGACCAACTGCTGCCCCCCAATCCTCTGTGACCCCGGCCTGTCCCTGAAGACCCGAGAACTTCTATAACCCCAACACATTCCCCAACCACGTCCCTTAGATGACCAACTGCTGCCCCCCAATCCTCTGTGACCCCGGCCTGTCCCTGAAGACCTGAGAACTTCTATAACCCCAACACATTCCCCAACCACGTCCCTCAGATGACCCGCTGCTGCCCCCCAATCCTCTGTGACCCCAGCCTGTTCCTGAAGACCTGAGAACTTCCATAACCCCAACACATTCCCCAACCACGTCCCCCAGATGACCCGCTGCTGCCCCCCAATCTTCTGTGACCCCAGCCTGTCCCTGAAGACCTGAGAACTTCTATAACCCCAACACATTCCCCAACCACGTCCCTCAGCTGACCCGCTGCTGCCCCCCAATCCTCTGTGACCCCAGCCTGTCCCTGAAGACCTGAGAACTTCCATAACCCCAACACATTCCCCAACCACGCCCCTCTGATGACCCGCTGCTGCCCCCCAATCCTCTGTGACCCCGGCCTGTCCCTGAAGACCTGAGAACTTCTATAACCCCAACACATTCCCCAACCACATCCCTCAGCTGACCCGCTGCTGCCCCCCAATCCTCTGTGACCCCGGCCTGTCCCTGAAGACCTGAGAACTTCTATAACCCCAACACATTCCCCAACCACGTCCCTCTGATGACCCGCTGCTGCCCCCCAATCCTCTGTGACCCCCAGGCCTGTCCCTGAAGACCTGAGAACTTCCATAACCCCAACACATTCCCCAACCACGCCCCTCAGCTGACCTGCTGCTGCCCCCTAATCTTGTGTGACCCTGAATATTGCCCCCACCCCATGGTAGCAGAAGACTTTCTTCCACCCACAATAGCAGTGGGAAATCTCTCCTGCGATGTACCTGCTCCACTTGCTGCGTTTCCTGCTCGATGCGTTGCAGCATGTCGTTCCTGGTGGAGATCTCTTTTGCCAGACGGGTGGACTCCATGGTGGTGTTCTGAAGCTTCTTCTGTAATAAGAGGGAAAGCCGCTATGGAGATGACCCAGCCTCACGTGTGCGATGTATGACGGACTCCTCCCTGCACATACTAGCAGGAAACATACGACCATCGGAGGAGGAGGAGGAGCTTCCAGTCACATGCCAGGATCTCCCCCGATAACCGAACACTCACCTTGTAGGAGTTGAGGATCTGTAATGTGTGTCCTGCGTTCAGCTTCAGGTGGAGCAGATCCTGATTCCGCTCATCGATTCTCTCCAGGAACTGCGCGTTTTCTATCTTCAGCTGCTGGAAGTCCACCTCAGTCAGAATCTCCCCCATATCCTCCTTCTGAAAGAGAGAGAAGCGCTGTGACCAGGACGCGGCGCCATCTCCGGGCTCACTCTGCGCCAGGACGCGGCGCCATCTCCGGGCTCACTCTACGCCAGGACGCGGCGCCATCTCCGGGCTCACTCTACGACAGGAGACGGCTAATCTGTGGCCTCTCCTCCAGGTACATGAGCCAGCAAACGTCTACAGCCAGGTGGCTTCATTCACCTCCACACCTCACATCACCTCCACACATCACCTCCACACATCCCCTCCACACATCACCTCCACACATCCCCTCCACACATCACCTCCACACATCCCCTCCACACATCACCTCCACACATCCCCTCCACACATCACCTCCACACATCCCCTCCACACATCACCTCCACACATCCCCTCCACACATCACCTCCACACATCCCCTCCACACATCACCTCCACACATCCCCTCCACACATCACCTCCACACATCCCCTCCACACATCACCTCCACACATCCCCTCCACACATCACCTCCACACATCCCCTCCACACATCACCTCCACACATCCCCTCCACACATCACCTCCACACATCCCCTCCACACATCACCTCCACACATCCCCTCCACACATCACCTCCACACATCCCCTCCACACATCACCTCCACACATCCCCTCCACACATCACCTCCACACATCCCCTCCACACATCACCTCCACACATCCCCTCCACACATCACCTCCACACATCCCCTCCACACATCACCTCCACACATCCCCTCCACACATCACCTCCACACATCCCCTCCACACATCACCTCCACACATCCCCTCCACACATCACCTCCACACATCCCCTCCACACATCACCTCCACACATCCCCTCCACACATCACCTCCACACATCCCCTCCACACATCACCTCCACACATCCCCTCCACACATCACCTCCACACATCCCCTCCACACATCACCTCCACACATCCCCTCCACACATCACCTCCACACATCCCCTCCACACATCACCTCCACACATCCCCTCCACACATCACCTCCACACATCCCCTCCACACATCACCTCCACACATCCCCTCCACACATCACCTCCACACATCCCCTCCACACATCACCTCCACACATCCCCTCCACACATCACCTCCACACATCCCCTCCACACATCACCTCCACACATCCCCTCCACACATCACCTCCACACATCCCCTCCACACATCACCTCCACACATCCCCTCCACACATCACCTCCACACATCCCCTCCACACATCACCTCCACACATCCCCTCCACACATCACCTCCACACATCCCCTCCACACATCACCTCCACACATCCCCTCCACACATCACCTCCACACATCCCCTCCACACATCACCTCCACACATCCCCTCCACACATCACCTCCACACATCCCCTCCACACATCACCTCCACACATCCCCTCCACACATCACCTCCACACATCCCCTCCACACATCACCTCCACACATCCCCTCCACACATCACCTCCACACATCCCCTCCACACATCACCTCCACACATCCCCTCCACACATCACCTCCACACATCCCCTCCACACATCACCTCCACACATCCCCTCCACACATCACCTCCACACATCCCCTCCACACATCACCTCCACACATCCCCTCCACACATCACCTCCACACATCCCCTCCACACATCACCTCCACACATCCCCTCCACACATCACCTCCACACATCCCCTCCACACATCACCTCCACACATCCCCTCCACACATCACCTCCACACATCCCCTCCACACATCACCTCCACACATCCCCTCCACACATCACCTCCACACATCCCCTCCACACATCACCTCCACACATCCCCTCCACACATCACCTCCACACATCCCCTCCACACATCACCTCCACACATCCCCTCCACACATCACCTCCACACATCCCCTCCACACATCACCTCCACACATCCCCTCCACACATCACCTCCACACATCCCCTCCACACATCACCTCCACACATCCCCTCCACACATCACCTCCACACATCCCCTCCACACATCACCTCCACACATCCCCTCCACACATCACCTCCACACATCCCCTCCACACATCACCTCCACACATCCCCTCCACACATCACCTCCACACATCCCCTCCACACATCACCTCCACACATCCCCTCCACACATCACCTCCACACATCCCCTCCACACATCACCTCCACACATCCCCTCCACACATCACCTCCACACATCCCCTCCACACATCACCTCCACACATCCCCTCCACACATCACCTCCACACATCCCCTCCACACATCACCTCCACACATCCCCTCCACACATCACCTCCACACATCCCCTCCACACATCACCTCCACACATCCCCTCCACACATCACCTCCACACATCCCCTCCACACATCACCTCCACACATCCCCTCCACACATCACCTCCACACATCCCCTCCACACATCACCTCCACACATCCCCTCCACACATCACCTCCACACATCCCCTCCACACATCACCTCCACACATCCCCTCCACACATCACCTCCACACATCCCCTCCACACATCACCTCCACACATCCCCTCCACACATCACCTCCACACATCCCCTCCACACCTCACATCACATCCACACATCACATCACCTCCACAGTTCTTTTCCATAATAAGGAAAGTCTCGGCTCCCAGTGGCTGGTGAAGGAATGACCGTGTCTGTACATCCGGGGACCCTGTCCCCTCTGTCCCCGTGCAGTATGCCGTGTCCCGGGTCATGGCCCATTGGTTATAGCCGGGTTTACATGTAACTGTGCACACAGTGCATGGGAAGCGTGTACATGTTAGCGTGGGTCCCTTGCACTGGGCATGCACAAAGGCCAAGGAGGGTTTTGTAACTCCTTCCTTCATGGTGGCTGTGACTTCCTGTTACTGAACCGGTTCACCTGATCTAGCCTGAGTCTCTACCACCATCCTGACTACTCTTCCCTGCCGCCTGCTCAACCTCTGCCTGAGCATTGGCCAACAATAGTACCACTACCCTGTCTCCTCATCATAGCCCCCCTGTTCCTGCTATCCCCTGGTGGGGTGATCCTTACGGTCCACACCTAGCAAAGTAACTTAGCCCATCATCCCTTGTGGGGTGCTCTGCTGAAGACCAAAGTGCCAATTAGACTCCATGCCTTGGGTCAATCCACACCACCTGTCAGGGGGTAACAGAGTCCTTTCCATCTGCAGGTCATTATGGGCTGAAAAAGGTTTATAGAACTTGCAGAATAGAAGCCGTTGGTGAAGAACTGGCTGGTGGGCCTGTCACGTCTCCTACGCACACTTCCTCCTTTGGACACATTCATATAAAGAGACGCCACCAGAGATACTGGATGTGTGCAAACTACTTAAGAAGAAGATGTTCCTCGGTTTTTCTACAAGCAAACATAGAAGCTGCAGAGAAAATGGAAATGCCCCCCGCTGAGGAACCCGCCAAGGTGTCACTCCAGGTAGGACAGGGTGCTGGGGGTATCATATACGGGGGAATGGGATGGATGTCACATGTGCCCCCCGCTGGAGGGTGTCACTCCAGGTAGGACAGGGTGCTGGGGTATCATATACGGGGGAATGGGATGTATGTCACATGTGCCCCCCGCTGAGGAACCCGCCAGGGTGTCACTCCAGGTAGTGCAGGGGGGTGGGGGTATCATATACGGGGGAATGGGATGGATGTCACATGTGCCCCCCGCTGAGGAACCTGCCAGGGTGTCACTCCAGGTAGGATATGGTGCTGGGGTATCATATACGGGGGAATGGGATGGATGTCACATTTGCCCCCCGCTGAGGAACCCGCCAGGCTGTCACTCCAGGTAGGATATGGTGCTGGGGTATCATGTACGGGGGAATGGGATGGATGTCACATGTGCCCCCCGCTGAGGAACCCGCCAGGGTGTCACTCCAGGTAGGATATGGTGCTGGGGTATCATATACGGGGGAATGGGATGGATGTCACAATGTCTCACCTGCTTCAGCTGCATCTGCAGCTTCTTCTTCTGGATCTTCAGCGCGGCATTCTTCAGTCTTAATTTGTCCACCAAGCTGTCCTGTCATACACAGAAGAAGAATGAGATCCTACATGACCACAACCTGCCCAGATCCCAGCTCTCCGTGTGCTCCCATACATGAATAGGCCGTGTCTTTCAGAGAGAAGCTGAAGAACAATGACGCGTGGCCCAAACTGCGACATTACCACCATGACCTGATCGGCCTCCTAAAATAGGTGTTTGTGGAGTTCAATGACTGAGATCTGATGGGTGGACCTCATTTCCTGAACTCAACATGTAGCCATCTGACCTGTCCATGTAGATGTCCATGTACTTCTGGAGACAACTTGGCCATGTTCCTCCAGCCCCTGCTGTGTGATACCCCCGCCATGATACACACGGGAGACTTACCCTCGCCCTGGTCTTTTCCTCCATGTAGCGTAGAACCTTTTCCGGGGTAACTCCTCCGCCTTTCTTGCTCCTCACTGCCGCCTTTCCGATGTCACGATCAAACTCATACATGGCTTTCTTGATTTCCTTGCGGCGGATCTCAGCTTCCCCCATCGTGGCCTAACAAGGCAGAGAAGAGGTCTCAGGATATCAGAGAGTCCTGTGACAATTTTTACTACTTCTATATTGCTCATGGGGCCATCCGTGGTCGCTACAAGCACCCACCTGCTTTGCAGGTTTACTACTTTTCCGGTAAGGCTGGTTTCCTATTATATAACATTGCTGACCTCTGTACTGCACGTCACAATGCTGGCCTCTGCACTGCGCGTCACACAGCTGGCCTCTGTATTCTGTATTGCACCACTGACTTCTGTACTGTGCATTGTTACTGATCTTTATACTCTGCGTCACACCGCTGGCCTGGCGGAGTTAAGGCCGGGGCGGGGGTTAGGTGGGGCAACTGGTGTTGAGTAACTTTTCAGGCCTGGCTAGTAGCTTAGGACTTGAAATTTTGAGCCCTGTGCTAAACCCTTGGTTCTCAACTGGTGGGTCATGACCCAAAAGTGGGTCACGACCCCATGTTCAGTGGGTTGCCACATGCCTTCCACTTTTCCAGGTAAAATACTTGTCAGTCTCATCCTAGCACAACAGTCAGTTCTTGCGCATTCAAAACATGCTGTCCGGCGCCGAGTGTCAGCTTGAGTTGGGGTGAGGTGGGGTGAGGTGAGGTGGGGTGAGGTGGGGTGAGGTGAGGTGGGGTGGGGTGGGGTGGGGTGAGGTGGGGTGAGGTGGGGTGGGGTGAGGTGAGGTGGGATGGGGCTAAGGCCCAAGCAATGCATATATGGAAGGAGCTCCATCACAGCCCACACTGGACCCCAGGCTGAGGATCCGCTCCGGTTCTGGAAGGGAAACTAGGTGGACCTCGCGCGTCAGTGTTTTTGAGGGCCCATTCACACTAGTGCAGTGCATTAAACTGAACCATGCAATCACACCTACCGTGCATTCTGGTGTGGGAGGTGCGTTGTGTTGCCATTCATTTGAATGGCGCCCCAAATGCACCTCCCACCCACAATTCGTACGCCCGCACCAGAACGTGCGGTACCGCAATACTGTGCGTTCCATTGCAGTGCGACTTGGGTCGTGACTTAATGACCGAGGACAAATGTGGGTCCTGAGGTTACTGGTCTATGTGATAGGTACACACACAGGATGAATGTCAGTGCATAGCGGACCATGGGGGTCTCCGTCCCACCGCGTGTGCTCAGATCTGACCTGGTTGAAGTCTAAGGTGGATACTCCGACTTCAGAGACGGCCGCCGGCGCCAGGTCCTTCTGGTCCAGCCGCTTGTAGAACTTCTCAAACATCTCGGTCTCGGCTTTGAGTGTAGACAAGGCATCACTGGAAGAGGCACCACGGGGGCAGGAGTCAGACACTTTACCAATTCTAGACCTTAGAGGTCATTACAAGAAATTGTATTCATACCCCAATTCTCCTTCCCCCGCCCTTGTCTGCCCAGAGCGCCCCGCCCCCTTCAACCCCGGAGGACCAGGCCATAGATGAAGGTCTCCCCAACACCTGAGGTGACCTATCCCTGGACATTGGCGGGGAGATCTGTGCCGCCATCACGGTCAGGCAGGCAAGGAACATTACGGGAGGTTCTGGTACCAGTAACACTTTGCAGACATCTCCACGCCGGAGGAGACCGGACCCAGAACAAGAGTCAGAACTCTGATCACTCCTATTATAGTGACTTGAAGCTGTGGGAATGTCGGTGTGTCAGGAAGGAAGACAACTTTGTCTCTGGAGACCACCCTGGAGGCTGAAGGCCCTGGCAGGACGTGCAGAGGGTTCCAGGAGGTCCTCTGCGGATCACCTTGACTATCCTGCAGGCAATGGAGGGAGTGGAGGGTGAGATCCCTCAGATGGGCTATAAACAGAAGCTCGGAGGACCTGAAGGACCTCAGTACCCAGGAGGTAAGAAGACAACGCCCGGAGACATCTAAAGGAAGTAGCTCAGAAGAACCTTGGACATGATGAGGAACTCTTCTGACAGTGACCTTACGGGTCCTGAGAATCCACCACATCCATCTGATTACCGGGAGGACTAGACTAGAGATGGACCGGGAGGAATAGACTACAGACCAGAGACAGACCGGGGGACTAGTCTAGAGACGGACCGGAGGACTAGACTAGAGACCAGAGACGGACCGGAGGACTAGACTAGAGACGGACCGGAGGACTAGACTAGAGACGGACCGGAGGACTAGACTAGAGACGGACCGGAGGACTAGACTAGAGACGGACCGGAGGACTAGACTAGAGACGGACCGGAGGACTAGACTAGAGACGGACCGGAGGACTAGACTAGAGACGGACCGGAGGACTAGACTAGAGACGGACCGGAGGACTAGACTAGAGACGGACCGGAGGACTAGACTAGAGACGGACCGGAGGACTAGACTAGAGACGGACCGGAGGACTAGACTAGAGACGGACCGGAGGACTAGACTAGAGACGGACCGGAGGACTAGACTAGAGACGGACCGGAGGACTAGACTAGAGACGGACCGGAGGACTAGACTAGAGACGGACCGGAGGACTAGACTAGAGACGGACCGGAGGACTAGACTAGAGACGGACCGGAGGACTAGACTAGAGACGGACCGGAGGACTAGACTAGAGACGGACCGGAGGACTAGACTAGAGACGGACCGGAGGACTAGACTAGAGACGGACCGGAGGACTAGACTAGAGACGGACCGGAGGACTAGACTAGAGACGGACCGGAGGACTAGACTAGAGACGGACCGGAGGACTAGACTAGAGACGGACCGGAGGACTAGACTAGAGACGGACCGGAGGACTAGAGATACCAGGTGAGGCTGAGTGGCCCCAAGACCTGATCAGCGGAACGGTCTCCTATGGGGGGGGGGTGCTGTGACGGACCCCCGGGGTAGAAGAGGCTCCATGTTGCAGCGAGATGATCTGGGCCTAAGGCCGTTCCTCATCCACATAATGGAAGATGCCGATCCCCGTTCCTCGTCTACATAATGGAAGATCCCGATCCCCGTTCCTCATCCACATAATGGAAGATCCCGATCCCCGTTCCTCATCCACATAATGGAAGATCCCGATCCCCGTTCCTCATGCACATAATGGAAGATCTCGATCCCCGTTCCTCATCCACATAATGGAAGATCCAGATCCCCATTCCTCATCCACATAATGGAAGATCCCGATCCCCGTTCCTCATCCACATAATGGAAGATCCCGATCCCCGTTCCTCTTGGAAGAACAAGAAGTGCCAGCAAGACCTCAAAAGGCACAAACCTGAAAATTTCAGTTTTTTAAAGCAAAATGGAGGAACTCTTGGAAAATCAGGAAGAGGAACCCAGGGGACGCCTTCCAGCTGTACACTGACCAATCATGGTCTAGAACACCCCGCAAGGATGGCCAGACGGGTTCACCAACGCACAGATCATTATGTGACACTCATAAGAAGGTGGCGGGTGACTGGAACCTCAGGGTGCCTGCAAGAACCGCAGGGGTGGGGCTCCACCCAATGAACAGAGGGGAGTGGACATGGATAGGTCCTAGGGGGCGGATCCTTTACATTAGTTGCCATGGAGAAAAAGACAAGTTGGCCGG